ACGACAAGCCTCTAATATTTCTTCTGTTAACGTGAGTTGTGGCCCAGCCTGGTCTTTAGTCTACACAAGGGAGACAGACTTTTAAAAGAAAATGTTAATAGCTCTATTATTTTTCTTGATTTAAAAATGTAATACACGGCTCTTAAAAAAAATGCATACAATACAGGAAAATATGAAGAGGAAAGGAAAACCACCCATCACTCCAGCAACCAGAGATAACCAGTGTTAACATTCTTTAATTTAATTTTTGAATAGGCAATACATTCACAGGGTTCAAAATTAAAAATTATAAAAGGGTATTATTCAGTGAAGAATTCCCTCCCACATCTCTGGCCTCCAGCCTCAGTTCCCCTCCGCACAGATGAAAAAAAAAAAAAGACGTTAATTTCTTATATATATTCCCAGAGTTATTTAAGACCTAAAAAGCTATTTTAAGATCTTTTAAGACGTTGCAAGGTTATTTGGAGGGATTAGAGGATATTTGGAGACACGCACACATGTTCCCTGCTCCCCAACCCCCGCTTCTATTTACTGCTTTGTTTGCCAAACACCATATGGTGGAATTTTTTTCCCTGTCACTTTTCAAAGGGCAGGCCATCTACCTCTCCTGTGGCACTTGGTCCTCTTGGTCTGAAGGCACCGTTTGGGACTTGGGGGGTCATCTGACATTCTTTCGCGGGTCCTTCCAGCTTCGTGGCATCTTGCCATCTTTAGACACACTTGTCATGCACGTCTGCAGTGACCCTCTTCAGTGACGCTGCCCGTGAACCATTTAATCAGCACTCATCACAGCCGAGTGACAATGACAATATTTTACAGAAGTCAACAATGCTCTCTTGGGAGAATGTCAAATGCCTTTCTGAAATATTTTTTTGTACTCTCGCACTCATCATCTCAGACATGTGAACCGAGTGTTAGTGGGATACAAACGTGTGTGTGTGTATGTGTGTGTTTGTGTGTGCACACAAGTGCAGGCGCAGTGTTGGGATCAAACCCAGGGCTTCACGATGCCGGGCAGGCTCTCTGTCACCGAGCCACATCCCCAGCCCGAACATAACTTTTAAAAGCGAACCGTTGTTGGTGCCTGGTGCCTTCTGTCACTTCCAGTGATGCTAACAAATGACCATGACTGCAAAATGGCTGACAGTGAGCTCTACCTGCTGGGTGGGGTTTGAACTCTACACCTGCGTGATGCTTACTCCCCAAAACAGCCTTGGAAGGAAGCTACTCCTTCTATCCCTGGTCGGCAGTAAGGGGATCAGTCTCAGAGAGGAGAGTGTTCATTCATAGGAACTGCACCAACGTGGGTGCGCCTGCCTGTCAGGGCCACCAGGACTTCCTGTGGTCTGGGGGCAGTGTGCTAAAGGATGATGATGAAGGGTGCAGGCTCAGGGGTGAGCCATGTGGATTCTAGCCAGGTTCCACCCCTTGCTGCTGTGTGTCCTTAGACAAGTTTAATAACCCCTCTGGACCCCAGTCAGTTGTGGGGAAAAACATCTGAGACGATGCATATAAGACTCAGTGAGCATCAAGGAGGTGCTTCCTACATGCACCGTCCTCCTGATGTGGACATTCCCATCTCATTTGATGGACTTCAGTCGCCTGGGCCATCTTCTCTTTCATTTCCCCAGTTAGTTCTCCCCAGTGACACATTTCAGTGCTGGGCTGGGGAGGGCGACACGGGGCTGTAGAGATCAGCAGATCCTGCACCTCGGAGACTCCCAGTGCAGGGTCAAAGGCAGCCAGGGACCCAGACGGTGACTAGCAGGGGCACAGAGGCTCACAGGGAGGAAGTCTGGGTTGTCCCACTCTGTCCTCTTCCCTGCCTCTGCCTGTCCCTTCCCCATGGGCCTCTGAGGAGATGGATTCCTTGTCCCCCAAGGGACCGTGGTTCCCAGCCCTGCCATTGCTCTTGCTGGGTCTCTCCCATGGACATGCTGGCCTCTCACCCAGGGCCCCCATTGGCTCAAGGGTCTCCTGGGACAGCTCCACATGTCCTCCCCCAGCCTGGCTAACCCTCCTCCCAACGGTGCCCTCCAGTGACAAGGCTTTGTCTACCCTCAGGTTGTCTTGCAACTGGGCTGTCCCTGGGCGGGGCTGTTTGTCCCTCTAGGAGTGGGGGAACCCAGAGAGGCCATGCCTCCCCAGATGGGGGTCCACCTAGGGTCAAGAGCTCGGTGTTTGCCCTTCAGAGACGTCTCAAGGGTCAGGAGAGATCTCTCCCCGCATCCTTGGAGGCACCCAAAGATGGGGGGGTATTCTCTCCCTCCCTGACCGGGGCTAGGGCTGCCTCCTCCCCACACCAGGCCCCTTAGGGCTGGACCATGTCCTCCCTCAGACTGGGCCTCCCAGGCCGGGCCCTGCACCTCAGGCTGGGACGCTCCTCTCAGGGGCTGCTGCCTCGCGCCCGGGCCAGGAGTTCAGTGCCAGGCAAGTAATTGAATTCCTGAATGTTAACAAGTCAATCATGGCGTCTTAATGAGTCCTGAGTAATCTCAGACATGCGTGTTAATTAAATAGCTGTCCTGGTTCTAATCCGCTGGAAGTTAATCACTGGGGAATTAGGAGGTGTCAGCGTGGGAACTTCATTAAGGGATGGAGCGAGGGAGCGGCTCTGTCCCGAGTCTGAGGACCAGGGCCCATCGGAGGGGCCAGTGGCCCACCCCGCCACAGGCCTGCCTGCTCCCGCCCATCCCCAGCCTCTGGCAGGGAAGCTCAGGAAGAAGCGGCGACAGACAGACAGCGCCCAGCACACAGGATGGGGAGGCCCTGCACGGGGTTCCCTCGACCCTTCTGCTGTTGGCCCACTTCCCACCCAGACACTAGCTCTCCTCCCCTCCCCTCTGCCCTCCTCATCCCCGGGGGCAACCCCATCCCCAGGTCCTGTTAGCCACAGGCACCTCTGCAAATGACACCTCGGTAAACCCTCTCCGCGGAGCCTTTGGACAAGCAGCCAAGGCCCGGCATCTGGTGGGCAGGGGGGCGGCAGCACTGTTTGGTCTGGTCTCCAAGGGCCACATCTGGGACCACCCTCCAGATGACTTAGGAGCAGAGAGTCCACTTCTCCCTGACTGGCCTCTGGTCTCAGGGTTCTGAAAGGTCCTTCTAAGAGGAAGCTCTGGATTCCGTGCGCCAGGCAGAGACAGAGAAGACCCAGGGTGGGCCCTGAGGTGTGACGAAGAAGACAGGGATTCTGATGACTTGGGCTGGGGCTCTAGGCTGTGAGGATGGGGTCTTAGACGGTCTTGAGCTCTGGATGGGGTTGATTCTCCAGAGACCAGAACCGATGATTCCAATGGGTTATGTAGATAAAATCAATCACTCTATAATAAACCTCTCTCTCTCTCTCTCTCTCTCTCTCTCTCTCTCTCTCGTTGTTTTCTATAACTGCTGAGAATTGATTCCAGGGCCTCCTGTGGATACCAAGATCCTTGGATGCTGATGTCCTTTGTATGGAATAGCCTCGTATTTGCATAGAACTCACATACATCTCCAGATTACAAGTAACAACTCTGAGCCATCTTGAGATTACTTATAATACCTGACACAATGTAAATGCTAAGTAAATAGTTGTTTTACTGAATCATTTAGGGAATAATGGCGAGGAAAAAGTCTGTACCTATTCAGGCACAATTTTTTTTTCCTGAAAAAAAATTTTTTTTTTTTTGTCCCCAGGGATTGAACCCAATGGCACTTAATCACTGAGCCACATCCTCAGCTATCTTTATTTTTTATTTTGAAACAGGGTCTCGCTAAGTTGCTTAGGGTCTCACTAAATTGCTGAGACTGGTTTCAAACTTGTGATCCTCCTGCCTCAGTCTCTCTATCCACTGGGATTACAGGCATGCACCACCATGCTTGGCTTTTTTCCTGAATATTTTTGATCTCCGTTAGTTCAGTCTGTAGCTGTGGAGGGCCAACTGTATATACGCACAAAAAGGTTCATTATAAATAATTTACTTGTGTGATTCCAGAGGCTAAGAAATCCCAAGATCTGTAGTGCACTAGAAGCCCTAGGAGAGTTAATGGGGGTAGTTCCAATTTGAAATCTAACAGGTTTTCAGACACAGAAAAAAATAAAAAATAAAAACCAATGTTTCTGTTGGGATCTGATACCAGTCCAAGGCAGGTAGAGTTAGTTCCCTGTTGGTCATGGGAGAAGCAGCACTTTAATTTTCTTTAAGGTCTTCAACTGATTGGATGTGGCCCACCCACAGACTGAGGGTCTCCTGCTTTGCTTAGTGTGATACTGTGAATATAGATTTGGTTGTCATCTCATTTCTTGATTCCTAAAAACATGGAATCTCTTAATTCCCTGCCTTTTTTGTGTGCTAATGAGATGCCTGGTGGCTGGGGGCTCCTGGATAACCTTGGAATGGGAGCTGGTTGCCAAGGCAACCAATGATGTGATCAGAGTGTTGGAACTTCCAGTGCCACCCTCAGACCTCCTGGGAGGAGGGAAGGGATGAAGGCTGCGTTGATGACCAGGAGCCAATACTTTAATCAATCATGCCTGTGCAATGAAGCTCCCTTGAAAGCCCCAAAGGCAGGGGATGGGAGCTTCCGGGGAGCTGAACTGGAGGAGGGTGGGCACAGGGAGCTTGCTGGGGGTGGGAGTGCGGAAGCTCCACGGCCTGTGCTCCCATTTCTTACCCTGTGGGTTGCTTCCATCGGCTTCTTGGTCACGTTGGTAATATCCTTTGTGATAAACGGGAAAACCTAGGTCAAGTGTTTCCCCGAGTCCCGCAAGCTGCTCTAGCGGATTGATCAAACCTTAGGAAGAGGTCGCGGGAACTCTGATTTATAGCTGGTCCCCGAAAGTTGGGTAAAGAATGATCTGCCCTGGGAAGGGGCCCAAAGCCGAGGGCCACTGCTGCCTGCTGTGTACCCCTGGGTGTATATGACCTCTGACCTCCTGGGTGCCAATGCAAGCCCGGGTTTAGCACTGGGGAGAGTGGCCTGGGGGATGTAGGTGACCAGTTCCTCTCTGTGATCTAGGTCTATCTGGGGAAGGAGAAGCCATCGGATCCTCATCTCTATTGAAGGCTCCAGCTATGGATGCGGTTGATACGGGTGTCCCTCACCCCAGCTTTCACACAAGTTTTTCTTCTCACCTTCGGCTGGCCTGCTGAAGCTTTAAACAAGTATTATGGACTTTGAGTGTGGCCCCACCAAGTGTCTTAATCTTTGTAGTGGGTTAAAGATGGCCACGGGTTCTGGGCCACTCTTGCCATGGAGAGGTGGAATATGTTTTCTTTCCCATTGACTTTCAGCCGGCCTCTGGCAGCTTTTATGAATAGAAAAGGTGATGCCGTGTAACTTGTGAGGCCAAATGCAATTTCCACTTCTGTTGCTTGTACCGTGCACTCTCAGGAGCCAGCTGCCAGGTGAGAAATCTGACTATCCTGAGACCGCCATGTTGTGAGGAAGCCCAAGCTAGGCACGTGGAAAGACAGAGGCCACATTGAACAGCCGTAAGACACCAGGTGTGGGTGGGATCCTTGACTTTCCAGCCTAGTCCATTTGTCCGTCCAGTGCAGCCAGCCAGCAATCTCAGCTGAACCCATTCAGAGAAGACTATACGAGAGAGCATGGCCCACCGGGATTTCTGTGAGGCCAGCACTGGCAGCTCCACAGGGGACATGGCGATCACAACCAATAGTGCTTCTTGGACCCCAGCAGCCTGCATCCTTGTGGGCATCTGTTTTCCTCTCCCGTGGGGATAAAATCAGGGTCCCTTTTCTGGTGACATGTAAGCTGAGCTTCCCTGACTCTAGCAGAGGGCACTTGCCAGACGGTCGTCAAAGGTCTCCTTCCCCGTCACCTTGGTTTTGTGATCCCGTCCCCACAGGAAAGCCCGAGTCTCCGTGTTAAACTTTCTGCAGTCGACACACCTGGGGCTTGCGGCTCTGCCTGATGACTGGGTTGCTTCCAAAGAGCCAACGGGAGTTGCGGCTTGAGCTGTGATAACGGCTTCTCGAAGGAATCCCCACCATCTACCTTTCTGCTAATCCAATCTGGAGTTTGCTGGGGCTTTGAGGGATTAGTGTTCTCATCTGGGTTCCCGCTGTGCTCTGTGGGGACATCCATTACTGCTGTTTTATGTTTTGGTCTTCTCCCACGACTCCTCAGTCCCACCCTTGACCCTGAGCTGGGGGGATAAGGGGACAGCTGATTGCCTTCAGTTGGAATTCTTTGTCAAGTTCTGTATCTGGATGTTGGTAGAGACACGTCCTTTCTCCCAGCCAGTGGGGAGAGGTCACTGTTTTGCCTCAAAGTTTCTAGCGTGGGTCCCTCATTCTGAAGGGTTTCCCCACGGGGCCTGGCTATATACAGTGTTGGTTGTATCCTTGTTTGAATTTGGTTTGCCCTAGTGAGATGGCCGTCGGAGGCCAACAGCACTTGATGTCCCTACAGGCAGCCCTTGGTCTGTTCTCTCCCAAAGCCCCTAGCACACTCTGGGTCCATTCGAGGTGGCAAGGTGTGCCTTCAGGGTGATGCAGGGGACCTGAGGCCTGGACTCTGAGCCCCTGGGGTATGGCTTCTACAATCCCTATCCAGCCCACGACTGGACACAACTTCCCATTCCACAATGTCACTGAGTCCTCAGCCTGCACACACAGTCTCCTGGACTGCATTTCTGTCATCTGGCTTGGGGACAGGAGCTCATTTCCAGTCACACTGTACCGGCGTTCCCATCTTCCCTCCCTCCTGGCCATGTTTGTTCAGTCCCTTGTAGACCAAGTGATTGGGCAGTGGCATGTCAGCCAGGTTGTGGAGGGAGACAGACACACCAGTGCAGAGCACAGCTGTGCGCCTGGCCTGGTTGGATGCCACAGCCCCCGCTGTCATGTCCTCCTCCTGTCCAGCACCTTACTCACCACGGTCATCAGCAGTGAGTTGGTGACCCGACTCTGCCCAGAGCTACTTCCCAGTGAGCCAGCCGGCTGTCCTTCTGTGTCCTGCCGAGGGCTGGGAGGTAAGATCACAGGCTCCCTATCACTTCCCGAGTTTGAATCCCATCCCCACTGACTTCAGAGACCCTCTCTGTGCCTCAGTTTCTCCCTTGAAGTGGGAGAGCAGCAACCCCGGTGGGAAGGCAGCGGCGGACGGGCTCTGAATCCGTGTTGGTTCCTATTCCTGAAGGGCAGGGGTGGGTCTGACTCTGCTGGTCCTTCCACCCGTCTTCCTGCGTCCTTCCCTTCTGTTCTTCCTCACACAACTGCCTACTAATGATGGTTGTGTACCTTCTTCTGGCTGCCAGCTGGGGATCCTGGAGCAAGGGGCACCCGGTCCCTGTCCTAGAGGACTCATTGCCCTATCCCAGGTTGGGCCCAGGGTTTAGGTGATGTGGACCACAGAGACACGCGGGCTGCGGGTCTTGAGAATCTGAAGGTGATTTTTGTTTATTTTCTGGTACTGGGGTTTGAACCCAGAGCTGCTTAATCACCGAGCCACATCTCCAGCTTAGGACCTCTCTAAGTTGCTGAGGCTGGCCTTGAACTTGCAATCCTCCTGCCTCAGACTCTCCAGTGGCTGGGATTACAGGTGTGCACTACCACACCTGGCTTGAAGGTGACTCCTGATTGCATTTTTTTTTTTAACAGAACTTCCATTGGAGTGAGTATATTTTGAGCCTGACCTTAAGGGATTGATTAGGTCAAGATGGGTCTGGAGAACGGGAGGTGGGGTGTTGAGGATAGCGACACTGGCTGGTGATCCTTCAAAGGGCAGCTGGGGATCAGACCTGAAAGACCTCAAATACCACATCCCCTACCCTTCAGGGATTCCTCTGGAGGCTTTTGAGCAGCCAGTGACAGGTCATAGTGAGGATCCTGGTGCTGTAGGAAGGAGGCAGGTGAACAGGGAGGGAGTTTGATCGGGGGCCTTCTGGGCTGAGAGGAAGCCCTCCAGGAATCCCCCCCCCTTCCCCCTGTGTGTGTAGGCGGGGCCGGAGCCCTCGATGTCCCTCTGAGAGGACGGCAGGCCCCAGGGTGGGAGCAGGGGTAATACGGGCATTGGTACTGGCTGAGGGGCCATTAGGAGGGTTTGTCCTGTGGGCTGGGTCTCTGCAGGTTGACCAGGGACAATTCCTGCTGGGCCAGAAGGAACACCTGCCAACCTCTCCTTGGGGGGTGTGCAGATGTGCTGGGTTTTGATGGCACCCGTATCTGTGTTTGTGCACTTCTGCAGATGGGTTACATTTTTGCTTCTCTATAAGACCCCATGTCGGTATGTGTCCTAACAGTGGCACACGCTCATTGCCATGTGATGGGACTATTCCAGGTGCCTCTGTGCAGATGAATGCATTTCATCCTCAAGAACCCTTGATGAGGAAACAGGCCTGAAGAAGTCACTAGCCAAAGGTCACTGGCCGTGAGTGATAGAGCTGGGATCTGAACCATGTGGTCTGTTCTCAGCGATTTTGCTTGGCAGACTCTCCTGCCTCTCGGACGTCAGTGTGCATGTGTGTGCGTGCGTGTGTGAATGTGCATTAAAAGTCGGGCAGGGGCACATTAAAAACGATTTGCAGTGGGAATCAGTGTTAGTGGACACAGGCATCTGACAAGATGGGCATCACTGGGCGCTCCTGATGCCAGTTTCCCTTTACCTAATTAAGGGGAGGAGAAGTTGGGGAGGAGAAGAGGAGGAAGAGGGGAACGGGAGCTACAGAGGGGGACAGCGAGGGGCGACAAGCTGGGGCAGGATCTCTAGGACCCAGGAGACTTCAGGGTAAAGGGTCACTTTAGGGGAGTGGGGTTAGGAGGCAGGAAGCAAGGGATGGGTGCTGGCTGTGGGAAGGAGAGACTCTGCTTGGTTTAATGAGATGTTGCACCTCCCAGATCCCTGTCTCCTCTCTGTGGTACCTCAGCATTCAGCACGGGCCCAAGCCCGCCTCCCGTGGCCATCACCCTCGGCAGCACCATCGTCACTGTGGTCTTTGGCAAAAGTTTACTGAGCACCATGGACCAGGCATTTGGTGCCATATGGTTGCATGGTATTTTACACACCACACAAAACCCTCCAGTGAACTCTAAGGTCATTCCCAAGGCCATGGTCACCTCTCTGGTTGGGTTTTCTGGTATGCTTCTTGCTTCCCTGCTCTGGCCAGTACCGGCCTTTTGGCTGGTCCTCCAACCCGCCAAGCGTCCTTCTGCCTCAGGGCCTTTGCCCTCACCCTTCCTTCCCTGGGGATGTTTCTTTCTCCCCTCACCTCTCTCCTTTCTTCGTTTAGATCTCTGCTCCAATGCTGATCATGGAGTAAATATTCTGCACAAAATGGCTCTTCCTGTCCCTGTCTTGTTTCCTTTACCCTACTTAATTTTTCTTTGTAGCCCTTATCACCTGGACACTGTGCTGTTTGTCATTGGTTATATGTTGGTTATGTGTTGCCTGTGTCCTTAAGACGGGGCAGGGACTTTATTTGGCTCACCTCTGCATCCCCAGGGCCTAGAAGGGTATCTATCATCATCTGTTAGAGGAAGAGATGGATGCTGTCTTATTCAAGCCTCGCACCAGCTCTGGAAGACTGCTCTTCTCCTGATCCCCTTTGAGGGAGAAGGAAACAGAGACACACAGAACTTAGGTAGCTTGCTGAAGTTCCAGAATTGCTAAGGGGCTCAGTGGTTCATGAAGATTGGTGGTGCCCCTCCAAACTCCTCACTCTAGCTTTTTTTTTTTTTTTTTTTTTTGGTGGTACTGGAGATTGAACCCAGAGGCACTTTACCACTGAGCTACATCCCCAGTCCTTTATTTTTTGGCAGGGCTTTGCTAAGCTGCTGAAGCTGGCCTTGAACTTTTGATCCTCATGCCTCAGCCTCCTGAGCTGCTGGGACTGTAGGCATGCACCGCTGCACCTAACTACTCTAGCCATTCTTGATCCCCCGTTTCCTGTGTGCATCTGGCTCACACAAATGACCTGCTCTCATGCAGGTGGCCTGATCTCAGGGGATGGCTAAGTGGGCTACAGGGTCAGGGTTTCTCATGGACTCTGCTCCTGTGCTTCTCATAGATTTCCAGGATGAGGCAACCCAGCTGCTGCCATCCTGGGGTCCACATGGCTATAGGTGGGAAGTCCAGGAGAGGGTAAGAGAAGGGTATGGTCAACCCACTGCCCACTCAGACTGGCCCTCTCTCTTGTCTTCATTACATGAAGACAAAGTAATTCTTTTTAAGAAAGGCCACATGGGAGTGGATAACACTGGTGCCAGTACAAGTGGCAACAGACTTCAACTTGGGTTTCTCTTGCCCAAAGGAGCCTTCCATAACTCTTAACCTTAACTGTTTGTAGCAGACATTCCTAGTGTCCACATATCAGCTCTCTCTCTCTCCACCCTGGACACATGAAACAGCATACTCCAGCCCCATGCAGCCCAATGGGGCCATGCGATAGACCGTCCCAGCCAATGAAATACCAGTGGAGGTGACGGTGTCGGTTCTATGTCAAGGCCTCTGAGAACCTGGAGCTCCCCCTTCCAGCTCTAGGGTAACCGTGGAGGCCTCATGTACCAGGGGGGTGCAGCTATAACAGGCAGGCTCTCTCATTGTTGTCCTGGCTCCTTGAATTTTACTATGTGAGGCAGAGACCCTCCTTCCACCGAACCAGGTTGAATCTGCCATATGGAAATAAATCTTGAAATAAATCAGAAATAAATCTTTGCTGTGTCCTGCCCCAGAGCTTGGGGGTTAAATTTGTTACTACAGTCTTGCCCAGCCCTACCCGACTAACGCCCTCTTTTTGATCTATTTCCTGTATCCTCGATATTAGTGGCCCACATCTCATTGCCAAGAGTGGGAGTGTAAATTGGTACAAGCTTCCAGGGAGACGGCTTGGCAGTATGCATATATGAAAAACCCTAAATAAGTGTATTGTCTTTGACTCAGAAATTTCACTTCTAGAAATTTATCCTAAGGAAATAATTGGACAAGTTCAAAAAGTTGTATGGATAAGGAGGTGATTCATCACATAAAATGGTGAGAAATTGGATCAGCCTAAATATCCCCCAAGAGCAAATTGGTGAAATAAATTGTGATTCCGCTCTACAATGGAATACTCGCTGCTGCCCGTGATACATATTTATTGACATGGAGAGAGAGTCACACTCGAATGCAGCGCCGCGGCTGCATAATGTGAGCCCATCTTTGCTAAAAAAAAGTATTTGCATGAAGACAGTCCGGGGGATAGCCGGAGCTTGCTGAGCAAAGGTAATATCTGGGTGTGGAATCTCAGGTGATTTAACGTTGGTTGTTTTTTATTTGGCTTCTTTCACTAATTTTTTTTTCTTCAGTGATTTTTGTATCATGTGTATAATTAGAAAGTTAACTGGGAGGGAAAAAATGACTGTGATCTTGAGCAAGTAAATGTCTAAGCGTTATGACTTCCTCCTCTGTGGGCCCGACAACACACCCTTCACTGGGCAGATTCTGTTAGATCACATGACTCCATGCACTTGGCATCTAATAGGTGCTCAAAACCAATACCCATCATCATCAGCTATCAGTGGGGACCTTAGAGTTTGGTTGGCTTATTAATTAACCCACTCCCCTATCCATTCATCTAATAAGCAGGTCCTGAAGCCTGTTTTGCACTTAGTTATATATTAGAAAAATATAAAAAATGATGATAAGGCCAATAAATATTAATATGGCTCTTAGGGGTGCCAGGGACCACTGTAAATACTTTACATATCTTAACTAATTTAACCTACCCAATGACCCTACAAGGGGGTACCTTTCTCGGTTGAAACTGAGTCACGGAGAGGTCAAATAAGCTGCCTGCAATCATGCGGCTAGGAGGAAGCAGAGCCAAGCATCAAACACTCTTAGCCACTGAGTTGTCCCACCTGAGGAAGGCAGAGGTGGGGTCTGATCTGCTTGGGGTCTCTCTTGTTCCCAAGCTGAGGGCACCAGGGTCAAGCCCCAGCTGGGAGAGTCAGCAGCTGGGCTGAGATCTCAGAGCAGCCCTAGGGATCACTAGACTGGAGATGAGCTGGTGACCAGGGATGCCCATCATGAGGCCCCTCCTGAGCGGAGGGATGCAGGTGCGAGTGCCCCGCCCCCCTCAGAGAGCCTGGTCCTGCCTTGCAGGAAACTCAGGCTCCAGGTGGGTGAGCACATCAGCTTCTTGGACAGCTGAGTGGGAACGTAAGGGCATCATGACTGGCCCATGTGGACTGCACTCAGTGTGGGCCAGGTGCTGGACGAAGTACCTCTGTGCATTATCTCATTTAAGGCTCATGGCAACTCTGTGGAATCAGCTTTGTGGAATGTTGTTTTACAGAACAGGAAACAGGCTCAGGGAGGTGAAGGGACTTACCAAGGGTCTCACAGCTAGTACGTGGGAAGCCCAGATCGAAACTCAGGTCCTGAGTAGAGGGGCCCCTCCGTTCTTCCATCCACCCTTGCAGGGATTCTGGAGGTGCTGGATTCGGGGACACTTCCTATTTCAGGCATGCTCTTGGTGGCTATTACCACCTCTGCAGTTGCTGGGAGGTTGCTGCCCCCAGACATGGAGCACCATCACAGGACAGAAGCAGGAGAGGAACTGGAAGCCTCAGGGGCCAAATGGGGACCCGAGATGGGAGTGAGCCGGGAAGGAGAGCAGGAAGAGAAAGGGAGTAGCACTCTCTCCATCTCCTGCTGCCTCGCAATGCAGGCAGGACAAGATCATTATCCCATTTTACCATGGGGAAATGGAGGCTGAGCGCGGGGGATGGTACCTGCCCACGGTCATGCTGTCCCTCGCACCTCCTTACATTTCTGACGGCAAATGTGGGTGGTTGTCTCCCCACACATAAGCGATTCTCCAGGGAATACCATTCAGTTCAATTCTGACACCATCTACCTGGAGACATGGCCAGATCCCACAGATGAAGGGCTCGGCTCGCAGGAGCACCCCTCCTCCCACTTCGGGTGCCAACTGCCAGCCCCAGGTTGCAGCCTGTGCTTCCGACTCCCTCTGCGGGTTTCCACGATCCCCTCCTTGGCTTTGATTAATTTGCTGAGCAGCTCACAGGACTCAGGGAAGCTCTTCGTGGTTGCTGATTTGTTATGAAGGTGTATTACACGGGATGAAGATGAACAGCCAGCTTGAAGAGGTGCAGAAGGCGAGGAATAGGGAGAAGGGGCCTGACACTCCCTGGCCTGCTCTGGGCCACCACCTCCGGGTATCTCTCCAGTTCAGCTCTCAGAAACCCCCTGCTTCCTGGAGTTTTCATTATGATCATGGAAGTCATTGTTTATCAGCTTAACTGGTGGCCTTTCCCCTTTCCCAGAGGATGGGGGCGGGGCTGAATGTCCTGCCTCAATCATCTTCTTCTTTTTTTTTTTTTTTTGGTACTGAGGATTGAACCCAGGGGCACTCAACCACTGAGCCACATCCCCAGCCCTATTTTGTATTTTTATTTAGAGACAGAATCTCACTGAGTTGCTTAACGCCTCACTTTTGCTGAGGCTGGCTTTGAATTTGTGATCCTCCTGCCTCAGCCTCCTGAGATGCTGGGATTACAGGTGTGCACCACTGTGCCTGGCCTGCCTCAGTCTTTCTGATGATCAGCCTCTAGCCTGAAGCTACCTCGGGGGCTGCCAGCTACTTGTCATCTCATTAGCATATTGCTGTGATCTGAATGGGTGTCTGCCCACTAA